CCTGGTTCCAACGCCATTGACTGTTCAAGTGTGATGGGAACTGATGAATTGATCTTTCAGATGCTTTTCAAGGCGGTGATTATTCTATGTTCTCCTTACACGTTTTTCTCAGTCTTTTAGTCATGGTAGGATTTCTCCCACTCTTCCCTGCTCCAGTTTCAATGCTTCTAACCTTTTCTTCCTGTAAGGGATAAACCCCTAAACATTGTCAGGAGACATCGGATCCCAAAACTTGTTAACACCACAACCTCAACTTTCGTTGTGAATCTGAGATGGCAGGTCTGAGCGAGGCCCTCGGGAAGAAAGCCCCCGGCCCTTGTTATGACTCTTGAAATCATTAGGTTGTTTAAACGGTGCCTGTGACTTCTTAGAATTATCATAATCAAGTTGCCTAAATTCTGATCTTTTGCCAAATGTTGAATCGTAAATTTTAAAATGCGGGCTATAGTCAGTAGCCCTTTTAACCAAAACATACCAGTCATTATGTAAAGGTCTTTACTGAATCTCTCTCTCTCTCTTTTCTTTTCAGAAAAATGCGATGAGCCACTTGTGTCAGGACTCTCCCATGTCGCTTTCAGCAGCTCATCCTCTATGTCCGCAAGTTATTCTCCCGGCTATGCCAAGATCAACAAGCGAGGCGGTAAGTCCATTTTTATTTCCTGTGTCACCAAATGTAGTAAAGAAGAATATGCTATATTTTGTTATATTTCTAAAAGATATTTTCGTTGCACTGCAGCCATTAACAGGCACCCCAAACCAATCTTCCCACTTTGTTTAACAGATCCCAGGTACCGTAAACCTAGTTTGCAGCCACTATTGGGGAATCACAATTTGGGCTGGAACAAAAAAAATGATAAATCAAAGAGGAAGAATCTGTGAAGTTGCACGTGATAGTGAACTCAAAATGGTATAAAAAGTCTGGGCTAAGGAAATTCGTGTGAATCAGAAAATCATTTAAAAAGAAGTGAAAAGGAATTGACTCCAAATATGTGTACACATATGGTGTTTGTTAATGTCACTTGATCTTCACAACAGCCTTGTTAGATGGAGTGTTAGCTTGGAGATGCCAGTCATTACTTCTGCCAAAC